AAAAACAAACAAACTAAATAATTTGTTTAACATTTTCTTACTTCTAAAGACAAGCTTGTTGGAATTTCACTTATTCCATACAAAATTAAAAAGGGATTATTTACCTCAAAATAAACAAAATTCCAAATTCTCATCAGTATTTCCATGTTTTTCTCTGCTTTTTCTGGAAGAAAAATCACCAGTAATATCCACATAATTTATTTTTTCCCTAAATCTTTTTCAACAGAGGTAATAGCCAGATTTGGCAATCTATCATGTGAAGACATTATAGAACGTACATAACTTTTTCTCAGCTTCAGCATGAGAATGAGCGTTCTGCTGAAGCATGAGTAACCAGCATTGTCAGCAATATCCTCAGATCAACTTTTCTGAAGTGTGGCTGTGCAAACATTAATAACCACTCTCATAAGGTGGGCAGTGTTAACCATCATGGAGAAGATCTAAAATCGTGCGGTTATCAAATATTCTGTTAAAAAGAAAATGAAACCACAATGAATCCACCAGAAGATGGAAGCAACATTAAGAGAGGGTGTTCCGGTATATTCAACAGTGAAAAAATAGTGTGTTGAGTTTAAGCGGGGTAGACAATCACGTGAAGATGATCCGAGATCAGGTCGGCCTTCGACATGGACCACATCAGAAATTGTAAGTAAAGTTCATGATATGGTTATACATGATAGAAGAATTGCCATTAGGAAATTAGCGAAGGAAGTGGGAATCAGTAAAAGTACTGTAGCAAGCATTTTGAGTGACAATATAAGCATGAACAAGGTCAGTGCCAGATGGGTTCTAAAAGTGTTGTCACCTGAGCAGGAACGGATCCAAGTTGTTCAAAGTCAATACCTACTCCAAAGATTTCAATAGATTCGTAACTATGGATTAAACGTGGATTAACTTCATCGACCCAAAGACAAAAATGCACAGTTTTGCAATGGAAACACCCAAGTTCACCCACCCCAAAGAGGTTCAAGTCACAACTCTCTGCTGAGATGGTCATGACATCAATTTTTGAGAAGCCACAGGCGTTTTACTAGTTGATTATTTGGAAAGGGGTCAAACCGTTATAAAAGATTACAATTTTCGTTAAGAAATCAAAGAAAAAAAAATAAAAGCTGTACTCTTCCATGAGGACAATACCCCAGCTCATAAACTGCATGTTCCTTTAAACACTATCCATGATGCTGGCTTTGAATTACTTAGTTTATTCCCCTTGCTCACCAGATTTAGCTCCAAGTGACTTTTTCTCTTCCCTAACTTTAAAATCTTTCTGAAAGAGACATTAGAGCACTCCTGGCACAAGTGTATAGACTCAAGAGGAGATTATGTTGAACCAGTGTCTCCTTTTTTTAATAGGTTGAGCCACAAACTTTTTGGACATCCTCATATTTCATTTTTAACTTTACCAGCTAATAGTCCAAGCAGCTCATTCTGAATATCAGAACTAAGATAATGATCCCGTATCTTCTTGGAAGATATGTACCTGATGCTCCTGTATAACTGGGTAAAATCAAGTCATTCACTCTACCTGCCCCAAAATTTGCCATTGTTTGGCTCATAAAACGTTTTGGATGATTCCAGAAATGCCAGAACTATGTATGCTAAAATATGGAAAATGGCAACCAGCTTTTCAAGGGCGTTTCACCAGTGTTATTTTTTCAAACAGGTTCTGCAGGTTATCGTGAACTGCTTTTTCAGCTTTCATACTTCTATATATTTCCTTCAATTTTTTCATACACCATGTGTGATGCTGAGAGGTTTCATGTCGAGATAATATATTTGACAAGCTGAAAAACCATCATCTGTTAGCTGCACAGTGGGCTTTCAAAATGTTTGTAACAGAAGCAAAAAATTGGATTGGCCGATTCTCAATTCACTCACCATTTCTTAGTTTTCTGAAATAACTTTCTGCAGTGAATCATCTATTGACTCTGTTTACTGGAAAGTCAAAATTTTTGATAAATGCTAACTATTGCAGACAAAGCTGCATGCTCCAGTATCTTCAGACACTTGGAATGATCCAAAAAATATTTAACATGATGCCTCAACCTCTCAATATCCTCCAGTTCCACTAGTTTCTGCTGATTCTGCTCCAGCAAGACTTGAACTTCACTTAATAATTCTAATTCATCAGCTATTATTTCATGACTTATGCCCATGGAAGTGTTCTCCTGAATCTCAGCAGGTGTTGCCAGCATTCTCTGGAATCAGATTGTGCATAGCCAGTTTATCAGAACTTTTTCCAGTGATCCTTTAAGCATTGTTTCTTCAGATCTTATCATCTCCTTTTTCTTTCTTTTTTGCTTCTCTGGACTCATATTGCATTGAAGATTTGTTTCTGTGCATATCACTGCAAGTTGCTGCAGTGAAAGCTGAACTGGAAAAAGTACTTAAGAGTTACTGGCAGTTGATATCTGGTTTAGTTGAGAAAACAGAAGTAAAAGTAACTTTGTAGTGAAACAGGCTGAAAACAAACATAAAGTTATAATCAGTACCCCAAGACTAACTAAACTAATGGTAGTCAGCCTTTATGTAGTTTTAAGAAATTTCTAGAATCGGTTACAGCTTTGTGGTGAGGCTCCTTGTGGATGTTTAACTGAGGCCCTGTTTTCATACCTTTAGGTTCATTCTTGATTAGTGCTTTGGTCTTGTTTACTTGATCTTCTATGGTCATATTGTTGGCTTTAACAGTTTGCCTAAAAACTGGCAATATTTCAACAGTATTTCACATCATATTTGACAAGGAAGGATTATTTTCCTTTTCAAGTTTATTAAACAAACTGTTATCCAATGTCTGCATATTTTGAACTTTGGTTGATCAACTCTTACATACATCTGATTTCTTACCCCAACTCATCTATATAGACTATTGCTTGAAATTACTAAAGTTCCATAATTATTTTCATTGGTTTAGCATTAGTAAAGTTTATGAAATTTTCCTAATTCATCAGATAATGATACCCAGTGGTCAAGTGTATGAGACATAGTTACATAAAATACCACTTACAGATTGAAGGGCAGTGCAACATATTGCTGCAATAAGAGTTGCAACATAATGAAATGAATTTATACAACAGTACTTTTGAAATACTCCCCCTTCATATTTTAGCAAGTTTTTTTTTTTTTATCAGTTAAAACAATTATTATACTTGTACTATATATATATATATATACTTATATAGGAATTAAATCTGTCCTGAGGTGTTCTCATTTATGGTCTATGCTAATGAAATTCAAGTTTTTACTACATTACCATTATTTACAGAAAGTATGTTCTATACACAAAGTTTTGATGGCTTTTTTTTTCCTGAGCTCCATTGGCGGAAAACTAATCCATAGCTCAGGATAAGAGACCACATGCATATTCTTCATGACTTTTGGGTTTGATCACTATAAATATAGTTAGTAAGCTGTATGAAAGTCGATTAATAACTGAAACATCTAATAATTTTCCCCAAATTCTTATATGATTTTATATGAATTAACATTAAAAAAACTACTATTTTTTTAAACAAAATGATTTGCTAAAAGAGAGAAAGGGTTTCACATCAAATTCCTCAATCCATTGTCTTAACTTGTTGTTGTACGTATTTGACAAATTGTTTCTAATAGATTTGGGTGAATATAAACTACCATTTAAGCTTACTGTTTTATAATCTACATGATGTATTATGATTGGTCATTATTTACAAAAAATACTATAAACGGGTCAAAATTGTAAGGAATAAATAGCAAGACAATGGATTGAAAGCTCCCTATATAATTTATAATTAAAGTTGATCTTTGTTAATTACTGGAGACATTTTCTGTTACAAGAGTCTGTTAGCAAAATCTCTTTACTCGATTTTTCTATCATGTTACTGATTAGAGAGCAGATTAATAAGCTGAAAATGTGCTGCAGGTGTATTGAGTTAAGTTGAAACAAGTCTGACAACAGATTGCTACCATTAATTAGACTGCCAGTTTGTGTTCATTAGAGCTATAGAGAGTTCTTATCTTCTCACAGACTTAAGACCCTGCAAGATTCGATTCAATCTTCCTGACAACCCATCAGAAACATCAGAGATGGGCACTCAAAGGAAAACCTTTTCTCCTCAAAGCTCATTTCATGCCTTGACGCCAGAAGATGAAGTTATTATGTTCTCGGCAAAGTCAGGTATCACACTTAAATCCCATACTCTTTGATATTTTATATACTAAATGCCGTTTGCTTGAGTGAAAGAATACTCAATTTTAGCTTGTTTCTATATCATTTGTAATACTTAACCCTTTCACTGCCAGATTGCTAGATGAAAAATTATCCTACCGACAAATGCATTTTTACATACACAAGAAAAACATCAACAAAAAGACATGTTTAACATTTCATTACTCATCTGAAACTTAAAATTAGTAAACTTTGGAAAGTTTGAAAGAGACTACCTTATCTTCATGATGGTACAAATTCCAAACTCACATGTGATTAAAATCACACTTATCAAAGCAAAAACAAAGATTACATAGTGTGCCCCATATATGTGCCCATGGTAGTAGTCCAGATGAAGGGGTGGGGGGCATGGCAGTAAAATTGCTAACAAGACACAAGTGAATGATATTGTTAGTCCCCAAAATAAAAGTTACTGGTGGGATGTTGGCATGAGATTAATAGTACTACATAGAAATTATCAGGAATATAAAAATGTGGCAAGGTAAACAGTGATCCTGGATGAAAATTACTGAAGTAACTTTGGATTTGAGAAGTTCACCCAGATCCTCCACCTCTTTAGCTTTTATATTTGCATAAAATTAAGACTGAGACTGCTGTCTCACTTTAAAACCTCCCATATATTTGAAATTTTTTTATTTCTTTAGAACACAACTAATAACCAGAACATTATTAGAGTGGTGGAACTATCTTTTAATGTTGTATTCATTACTATTTGATCTTCAACACTTTGCTTGACAGCTTAGTAAAGGTATCTTGATATCATTGGGTGTTGGTTTAGAGTAAGGCTATTTTGTTCAATTAAGATAGCTTCCTTTATTTTGCATTCATTGACTGAACAAAACAGCCCTACTCTAAATCAACACCCCAGGGTACCAAGATACCTTTACTAGGCTGTTAAGCAATCTCCAGTTATGTGACCTCATTATTCCATACTGTATAGACATTCCTGTGTTTATGTAAACTATTTGTACCTGACAAGGACCTAATTTGTCTAAATGTTGTACATTTACAAAAAGTTTTTTAATTACCCATTCAAGCCATGTCCAACCTTTTATTTTTTAAAAAGTGGTTCCTCATCATCAAATTTAAATACTTTCAAACAAAAAAATATCAATGAGATTCTTAAATCTAAAACAGACTATTCAAGTTTATTTGTGGATTTTACAATACTTTTATATCAACTATAATCTAAACTTATTATTTTATTTTTACCAGCCAGTTCAGTATAACTGGTGTCAGGTCATCCATGAGTGAACAACAATTTTTTTCATTTTGTTTTTAATGGTAAAATATATCAAAGAAATGCAATCTTTTAACAGAGATGTTAATGAGTTAAAATGGAACTTAACTTTTATATATACCAAATGATACAAGTGTACTAAGCAAAAGTGAAGAGCCATTAACTTAAGCAAATTTATTAAAAAACCCTTTTATTTTATACAACTAAATATGATTAAATTAATCCTTAAAAAATCATAATAATTAGAAATTGTATATTTGTATACATAGTTGCTACACCATTTTTTTATTGACTTAATTAAAATATGAAGGAAAATACTATCTGTCCAAAGCATCATAGGATATGTTCTTAGGGACAGAATGAACCAACAGCAGTGTGTATATTTTTCAGCTGGGAAACTGAGTAAAAAACGAAATTCTCACTCTGAGATAAAATGTTATAAAAATTGAAAAATCCAATTTTGTTAATGGTAAACAAAGGAAATTAATCAGGATTTCATATAACCATTTACCTTCACTATCTACCCTTAAAATGTTTTATTTTCATATTTTATGTTAGGAGATGCTGATATATCTGAGGCAGTTACCCCACCAATATCGAGAACTGTCACTGAAACCACACTTCCATGGAAGCGAGAAGACTGTGTGGATGGAAACTGTGTCCGAAGACAACAAGAATTCCCTCCTTGGATAGACAATAAAGATTATCATTTGTACTCATCACCAACAAACACTTTTCTGAAGAAACTTCGACCTGATGAAGAAAAGACCAAAGATGTATTCACCATTTTTGAGTTAAATGCCAGGCTCAGTGAGGAAGCAAGTAATAGTGATGTTGATATTAAGGCCAGTGCCATTGCTAAGCTTAATCCTGCACATTTCAGAAGTAAACAGAAGCAAGACAATGTAGCAATTAGAGTAAGCCAGGATTCTGATGAAGAGGTTTACACTACAGATTATGAAATGGATAGCCCCACATCATCACAAAATATACAAATAGCAAGTACAAAAGATGATAGTACAGACCAAAGTAAGGAGGCCAAAAAATGTGTAATTAACATTGTTGAAAGCGAGACCACAATAAGTAATGCAGAAACTAAACTTTAGCAATTGTAAATACACATTTTTTTTCTTAATGCACAAATAATTGTATCACAGATTAAAAAAAAAAAAGAGGTTTTCTTTTCACATTTATTTCTATATAATTTTCAACTAAGGTGGTTATCCTAGATCCATATAAACAGAAATTTAAGAAAATTTTGCTTTGTCAACTAGTGTTATAGATTATTGGCTAATAGGAATGTTTCATCTCTAATAATTAAAGAAATACAAGTTGATTTGTTCTTTTATTGACATTTTAAAAAAATTAACTGTAATTTTGCCTTTCTTTTATACATTAATGACATATACATTTCTTCTTGAAAAGGGTTTACTTACAATTATCTCTACTTTGTTTCATCACTTGAATTACTGATAGTTTAATATACATTTCTTTTATGATAGTATGTTAACATCACTCCTACACTAATACTGAACTCAATTTTGTGTACATGGTGATTAATTTCTTAATTAATTTTAGGTGCATTTTTTCAAAAAAAAGTTCAGTACTGAATATGAGGATTTACCATTTTTAGAAATATGAGATGGAAAAATACTTTTGCTATTTCTAAAAGAACACTATTTAAATCATAATGTATCTATCTAAAATGAGAACAACACTCTATCATCATGAATAGCTTTAGCTTTAATTATTAGTAAAGAAAGCATAATATTTAAAATAAAGGTCAAGATTGATAAAATGGAATTTTAACAGGAATCTTTAACAAGAAAATTAAACTTTGATTTCAATGAATTATTACTCATGGACATAAAGAACCCCATTATTTTATTTCTTACTCAAAAAGATAAAGTTGTATTAAGATTTTATTTTCTAAAAGCTCAGTGCTGTTACACTATTTTGAGCATTATTAGTAGTGGGCTGAAAAAGCCCAATTCTTTCGTACATAGATCTGTGAAAGGAAGTCTGTCCATTGTTTTTCATATATATATATCATTATTAATGTTAAAAAAAATTTAAAATTGTTCTAATCATTAAAGACAAGACTTATTAATAAATGTTTCTTAGTATTTCACTTTTCCTTTCAAAAACAGTCTTTTTAAAGGATTAACAAAAAGAACTTTGATATTAAGAAATCAATTTAATGTTAGTGGTGTACTTGGATCTTTACACTAAATAGTTTGAATAAAGTATTTTGTACAGTTTGTACAACCATGCTTATCTTTGAAGCAATAATTACTATCTGTGCCATTACCTGTAGTAAAATTAGAACATTTTAAAGGATAGCATTTTTAGTCACTCTCAATCCTTGCCATTAAAAAAGTGTGTTTCCTATTCAGTGTTATTGAATAATATTAGTTACGCACAACTTCTCTCCTGATAAAACTACACAAATATTACAACTCAAATAGTTTTCTTACAGCAACAAAAATTTTATAATGAGTCTCCACAGTAAAAGTATGAGCTGTACATGAAGCAGTTATTATGATAAGTTAAACAAACTTTTTTCTCCCCAGTGAAACTATAATGCAATATGATTGTATCTAACTACATCAAAGTTTGGTTAGTTCTATATTGTAAGTTCCTGGTATAAAGATATTAAAATATGTTCAGTTCAATTTAGTAACTTAATTGTAATATAGATAATTATTATTTATGTATCTGCCCACTAAACAGTAATTGTATATGTTTTGTACTCTATAGAAACTTTTTAATGATACTGCAAACTACTATAAGAACGTTCTTTAATTAAAGCTCCCTAACTTACTTAATTCTTCAATGAGGTGCATAATGGTAAGTTTTTTGATGAAGAAAAAACTTTCCAATAAAGTAGTATCAAGACTTCAAAGTATTTTTTTACATTTTGTCAGTTATGAAATATTAGTCTCATTCTGCAAATCAATTTAAATTTGAATTCTTTGTAATAATAATAATAACAATGTATAACTTTAAGTTCTTAAACTTGCAAGAGTTTACTCACTTATATATCAAACTTTTCAATCTTCTTTTTCTTTTTAGAGTTCACAATATAAAGGGCTTTCACAACAAATTATTAATGTGTTAACAGAATGTGGATTCTTGTATTTTCTTTATGTGCGATATATTGTTGTTATATTTATAGATAGATATGGTTTATCTGAACGTGGAAGATTTAACAACATGTATAAATCTACATTTTGTACATATAGATAGAGAAAAACTTTTCTGTATAATTTTGACAGCACTTTATAACTGTACAAATATGTTTGTTGTCAAAGTCCAGATCATGTAGAAATACTGGGGTTTTGCACTGGATCAAATAAAGGTTTTATTTTTCCTATGGAAGCTTTGGCATGTGTGTTCTTGCCTGAAAGTGGTACTTAATAAAAATATTATAGCAAACAGTATAATGTTGCTTTCCATGACCTTTTAATATTATTAAATTTGTTTTTCAATCCATTACCTTACTTGTCTTAGTACATTCCAACATGTGTCTCATGCAAATTATCATGCATCATTTATTAACCAATAGTAGCATAGTATGCTCACATGACGCATGTGACTCCCTTTACACTCCTCTACCAAACCTTCACTTTGAGGTTTGGCAGAAGGTGTGAGCACCAAAAAAGTGGAGAGGAAGGGTGAGAAGTGTGAGATTACGTAAGTACCAATCGGATATACATTTTCAGTATAGAAAAATTATAACTTCTGATACGGTACTTACCTCCTCTCACAAGATTAGATAGAATCCCACATTGGGAAGGAAGAGGAACTGGTGCGAGGGAATAAACAACAGAAGCACCCCCAAAAAGCATCTGAAGGATATACCTGACTCTGATAGACAGAGATCAGAGGAGGGGAACTGCACCACTTCTGAGCCAAGTATACTCTTTGCCCCAGTGTATAATCTGTAAAACACAGAGGCAGAAATCATGAGGTGTAGAGTGGCTAGGGCATGTTGGACTGTACTTGGCAAGTCAACTACATCCAAAACCTCCTCTATGGGGTACCAACATCCGCATAAGGGTAGAATTAGGATCATAGCATCTTCACCTACCCCCAAGAATCGGGGATTAATATCCACTCTAATTCCTGAGTACTACACAAGGATCAACACCCTACAGCAATCTGAGACTGGCTGTCCAGCATCGAGAGGATGGATGGAACTTGTGCGAAGACTTATGTTGGTTGGCTCACTCAAATCCAACACCTCAATGCTGGGAACTGACGTCCACATGAAGGTAGGATGAGGGCTCCCAGTCAAAAGGAGTGAACTGCATGTGTAACGGATCAACTCCATGTGTTATGGAATGTGTAACAGGAGGCCACGTCAACCATTAAGGTGATGGATAAACTCCACAGTAGTGTAAATAGTATAAGGAGGCCACTTCAGCTTGTAAAGTGACGGATCAATTCCAGTGGTTGTGGATATTGTTGAATATGTAAATAGTATAAGGAAGCCACGTCATCCAGCAAGGGGACGGATCAACACCTGTGGAGCCACATTGCATCTACACCAGCAGAACACCACCACCCTACTCTTGATTGAATGGTTATAGTCAAGTTGGAACCCATTCAGGAGGGTGCCTCCATAGCCAATCACCCCAGCAGCTTGGAACTAAAAAGTGGGAATGACTCCCATACTCCACTCAAAGAAGGGAGGTGAGAATGGGATAGAGTCCAGAGGATCATCATCACCATAAACAGTGCAATGACTGACCACAATACCCTATTTTGAAAAGCAGACCATACCAAGTTATTTACTCAAGGCACAGCAGGGATTGGCAGCTATTCCCCTTCTACCTTACCCATTCTGTCCATGGGTGGTATGGTCTGGAATGGACATGTTTATAAAGCAACTATTGCAAGGTAGATAACCTTCCTGCGATCTTGTGAAACATCCCATCTCTACAATGACTGTGCGGAGCCATGGACGACATAGCAGGAGTCAACATGGCTTAGTGTGGATTTTAAGTCAGGCACAAACTACTACTTGCAGAGGTGTCACTAGGTATTTAAAAGATTCAGGACTCAGGCCCATAGGCACAGGAATTTTCGATGTTTCAGTATGATATTGATCATGTTTTTCTATTCTGATTTTTAAAGATACCAACTGGAGATTCAGGTCACTGTCAAGTAGAATCAGGGCATGGGCCCCATGTGCCAGTGCCTAGCGACACCTCTGACTTCTTGTCGCATGACTTCTACTATGGAACTAGTACATTTTGTTCTATTTATAAATTATGTGTGAGACAGGAAAGTAAAGCCCTATTAACAGATACAGCATACTGTCATGCTATGGCTAAGTAGTAAGTATTACTAAGCCTAATTATCAAGTAGTTATAATTTCCCAGACTTTATTATAAAGATAGTTACTGTACCGTGTAGATTGCAGTATCAATATACTTGAATGGACATTTCCACTGAAACAACTAAGGAGTGGAATGAATATTCACTACTGTAGTGAATTTTCATCAAGTCCATGGTTCTGTTAGATTATCAGTGTTGTTTCATGGCTGTGCAACCTGAGAAAATGGAGACTTCAATATAAGTTCTCGGACTGGACTAGTGGAGTCTACAGATTGCTAATCTTTTTTCCTTGTCTCTTTTAAAGGATAGTTTGTTTCTGATGATGAGAGCTTTCTCAACTGTTTTCCAAACAGTTATTCTACAACTGATACACAAGTCCTCCAAGTTGATGTATGTAACTACATAAAAAAAATATACCACTTCCTAATTTTTGATATATATTGCCCATTCAATCCTTTATCCACTTCCACAATTTTTAAATTAAATGGAACAGAGAATGCATGCAAATATTAGCAAATTATTCAGTTGAATGAAGTGACCGTTTAGCTCACATTTTCTTACTCATAATCATAATGTGTAAGACTGTACAACACTTTCATTTGAAACATATTTTTTTAGTTTTATACAAAACAATGTTTTTACAACTTAAAAATATTGACCAAAACCATTACAGTTATTGGACAAGATATACTCTACGCATATAAGGTTTATTAAACAATGAATATTAACAATATACATATATAAACAGATAGTGCCTGATAACACACAATGTCAAATTAGATGTGTTCAAGTTTCAAAAGGAATATAACTAAAACTTGTATAAAAACCAATAGTAAACATTTAAAACTGCTATCCTTTAGTCATTTCTCAAAATTTTGATATGTCTTGCTTGGTAAACAGTACACTGTTTGTTTATCGCTACTTAATTTCTTAGTGAAGTTGTTACTAAACTGGAGGCTTATTTTTATATTTATGTTAGAGTGGTTTTAGTGTTGTTACGTATCTGCTTGTTTGTCAATTTCCGGTAGAAATTCTTTCCAAGGAACTTCAGCGACACAAGTCCCTTCTTGATTAAGCCAGTATATTTTTCTCGCTACAAACTTTTAGTACACAATAATTCCACAGTCAGTATGTTTCTCGTCACTTT